ATAAACGTCATACTGTGAACCTGGGTGGGAGCAGCACAAAAAAGTATTTTAAAAAAAGCTAATACTTATGTTGCTGTAGAGAGAAAGATAACTTATTATTTGTAAAGGTTATAATCAAGACCAATGAGAACATCATAAGTTTACCTATTATCATAGGTGTACTATTAAAAGAGAAGTTTAACATTTAGGGAATTAAATGTCAGCCAATCCCAGTTGATACTGGGCAACACCCTGGGTAGGTCTCCAGTCTATCAATGGGTTGACATAGACAAACAATCACACGTACTCACACTCACTCCTATGGGCAATTTAGAGTCTCCAGTCAACCTAAGCTGCATGTCTTTGGACTGTGGGAGGAAGCTGGAGTATGTGGAGAGAACCCACGCAGACACAAGGAGAACATGAAAACCCCACACAGAAAGGCCTCGGGTCAGCCAGGACTCAAACCCAGAACCTTGTTGTTGTGAGATGAGAGTACTAACCACTGTGCTGCTGTGCCACCCACTCATACAGCAGTTGATTAGCTTAGCCCTGAAACGAAACAGGGAAATCACTAGCATGGCTCTGTCCCAAAGTAACAAAATCTAACTAAAAATGTGACTTAGGAGAAAGATATTTGGTAATTACTTTCCGAGTCAGTACTAGTATACAGATTTTGTAACAGTTTACCCATTTCTAGTTTTCAGTAACCAGCTGCTGCTTTATATTTATTGTACAGATCTGAGTGCAATGTTTATCTTTTAATCTAAATCTCATCAAGAACCCAAGTAAATGTTTGTTGAACTGTTGATCAGTTCCTTCAAAATGCTAATATAATGTAGTTAAATGAGGAATAAACCTTTTTTTCTTTTACAGCATTTTTCATTTTAAAGAAAAAAAAAGGCCATGACAGGTTTGACTAATTTACAGCTCTTTTATTTAAAGTGCTACTCTCCCATGTCCCATCTCCCATTTCTTGGTCACTTGCCTTTTTCCCACTATCCTTTCTGCTGTCTGTTACTATGTTCTTCACTGCCCCAAATGTACAAACCACCATGTATTTGAGTTATTACACTAATTTGCTCTCTGTTTATCTTTGTGCAGGTTTTGAAGCTGTGGCAGAGGCAGATAGAGTGCACGTCATGGTTTGCTTTCATAAAGCTTTAAATTGAACATATATATATTTGTGGGGACTTGTACATTAAGTACACTTCATCAGGACACTTCAGAGGTGAAACCTTTCCATTTAACTCACCCTCAAACAGATTTAAACACAGGTAGTGAAAACAAATAGTTTTACTCACTTGCACCTGAAAGTAAGTTCCTGCTCTAAAGTGATTTTCATGCATTGGGAAAGCACAGGGCCAGTTCAATTCATTTTATGCAACTCTTCAACTAGTGCATGAAGAGTGATTACACAAATGACTTCACACATGCATGCATTTGCAGCAGCTCTTGTATCATCAACTGCAACTTCCACGGACCCTCTAACATCCTTTAATTAACCTCCTTTTATGAGCCAGGCTTTAACACTTTGAATAAATGTGAAATATACTCTTATTAGGATAGGAGTTGTGGGTGGAAAAGATTTTGAGAACTTAATGAGATTATATGGTCCAGTCACTCTGAAACCAGATGAACAATGTTTTATAATTCCATATACACATGGTTGATGGGACAGTGTTGATGTCTGACACAGACTTTATTTATTTGAGGGTCAGGAGGAGTGTACATTAAAGAAGGATAGCATGCAAGATTGAGAAATAAAGCACACATAGTTGATGACAACAGCTGAAGAGCATTGTGGATAGCTGTTAACATGAGTATTTGACAACTAATCAATGTTTGTAATGATGAAATGCACAGACTGACAGCGGATTAACCCTGTGTCCTCACTAAAGTTAGATGTCATTTCATTTAATGATGCTAACAACAGTCTTTTAAGCTGATTAGAAAAAGTGTGATTATCTATAGATAAACCAGTTATACAACATACTATAATGTTATTTTGTGAGCTTTAGAGGTGGTGGAGGGCTTCCCTCAGCTGACACAGTCCCTTCACAAAACCAGGTTAATCCTTGTCTGTTTGGAAACTGCACAACCATTGCACACAACTCCAACTCCCTGTATTTGCACACTATAATTTTCCCCGACTCTTCCTTAATTCTCTAGGTACCTTCACTTCTCCCTTGAGTGCCTAGTCACTTTTCCAGCTAATATAGACATTCACAGACAGACTCAACAACTGTCCAAATTACCATTAACTCTACTTAAAGCTCAGACTCCTTCACACACTGAGAAGAAGGGGAAAGAGAAAAGCCTTGTCTCCTTATGATGCAAGTCAACTCAGTTGACCTTGTTGTGTATATACAGTTAGAAAAGAGGATAGGCAAATTTATATTGCCAAGTCAAGCGCTCACAAAAAATGATAACATAGGTATTGTTCCTGCAGACCTCAGTTCCTTCAATACGTCTGTTAGCCTTAAGACATTCAGCACACAGTATAATCTTGCTATAAGAATGTTAAAAAGAGTAAGAGTATGGTGTCAACCTTTATACTTGACAATCAGGTTTTCATAGTATCACTGCTGTAGTTCTAACTGGGGACCCAGATTGGGTGCCCAAGAGCTTTTTTTTTTTATTAAAAGAATCACAAATCAGACATGCAGTCATCTGGACAGACTGATATCACTGGCTAGATTCTTCATTCTTCAGAGGATCCCAGATGAGGTTTCATTCCAGATTTGCCAATCATGGTGGACAGCTAATTTTATATACTTGGCCATCTTTTTAATCATTCATTTGTCTGGGTGATTACTGACATCTCCCTGTGGTGTGACAAACTCAGAAGACATTTATTTCCACGTAAATTACAGAATTATTGAATTTAACTGAATTGATCATCACATCCTGATATACTCCCACCTCAGCCAGCCACTTTGGGCTCCTGTTTTCTACTTGGCCAGTTAAATCAGGGCCCAAAATGTTCAGTCCAAGAGCAATCCTCTTTTGAAGTGTAACATTAGGCCTATCAGCTAACAGGGGTTTGTGTGTCCTTCTGACCCATCTACTTGTTGAATTATATGAGCTTTCAGGTGAATATGCAAGCCTAATGAAAACAGGACACTGTTTACTACTGTACATAGGTCTTCATTGGCTACTCATAGGGCAGTAAAGTCAAACACATTACCTTTAGCAACTGGCCTATGCTACCTTAGGAAGTTAACAAGCTAAACACAATCCAGCACACCTACACATGTTAAATTTGTTTATGGTAGATATTACATGATTATGCATTAAAGGATCATTAAATAGTTTTTCTTAAATAAATGCTCTGTGCCTTATCAAACATTCAAAGCTCCATTTTCCTGCACGCACAAGCAAGCGTTAAGTTGAACACAGTTTCAATGCAATTTCCAGTTTGTTTTTGCCTCTGGATTGATTTCTTTGGCAATTTCCTGGCACCAAACCAAAATATTTCAATCAATGACGGGGAAACACAGAAGCTGAGGCAGAGATTATAATCTCAAAATGTAAAGGATTTGTGGCTGTGCCCACTCTGTGCAGCTCTTATTGATGATTGGATGATTGGTCTGCTGGAAGCCAGCGCCAACCACTTCCTTTCCCGTTACCGATAATCAGGCTGTGTTCCATTTGCCCATACTGGTGTGCCACTTGTTATGTAGCAGCAAGGGTGGGGAAACTCAGTTAAATCGAGTGCAGGCAACACATGAGACGGCAATATGATGCTGATCTTCATTAACAGTTAATGGTAATTCCAGAAAATAGGCTATTCTTTCATATTCAGCAACATGATGTCTCTGCCCTTGAACACAAATTGAACGGCCTATATTGCCAACTAAATACTTTCCCAAAGAGCCCAAACACCATTTTAATATCAAGTGTGATTTTATGGGATTTATTAAATTGAATCAGGATTTTACACAGTCTACATCAAGAAATGAATTTTCAAGGTCAGTCTAATTCAAATGTCCTATCTGGGGCTCAAAGTTTTGGGCTGCTTGGATGATATGGTGCCCACATTATATGACAACAAACAGACATTGTATCTGGTTAGACTGACAACAGCAAGTATGTATATACTGTATATATGTTTGTGTGTGTGTCCTCGGTGAAGTGTATCAGTCTGTGCGGTGGCTTCCAGCTGCAGCGAAATCACTGAAACTTTTATTGTGGCCATCCTAATGCACACCTGTGAGGTGGATAGATTATCTTGGCAAAGGGAGAGGTGCTCACTAACACAAATTTAGACAGATTTATGAACAATATTTGAGAGAAATAGGCCTTTTGTGTACATAAAAAAAGTCATAGATCTTTGAGTTCAGCTCATGAAAAATGGGGACAAACACAAAAGTGTTGTGCTTATAATTTTGTTCAGTGTATATTTTATTTATAATGCTTCTTAAAATCACATCCTTGATGAAACATAAATATTAGGTGTAAAGATTGAATGCTACCTACTGTAAATGTGCAAAACTGTATCAAAAATAAAGGAACATTGTGCACAGTAAGTAGTGCTAACTACTAAATGTACATTTCAGCCAACATGGGGTTCACCGTTTCCTTTCTGGCCATTATAAAGGGATATGACATTTAAATATTTTACAGTTTTGAAGTCAGACTGGCATAAAAGAGAGTCCACAGATGGCATCTATGTCCGCTCACAGTCCATTGGTTAACTGTAACAGCATGAATTCAATTTCATTGACTGTCTCTACAGCACTCATGCACTGAACATTGTTGTATGTTGTACATTGTTACTTTCATTCCTTGCTGGTTTCTCTTAAAATGGCCAAGTGCCATATCTGAGAAGTCTCTGTGAGTTCAGCTACCTGCTTAAAAGGGGGAATTCACACATGGTGTGCTGCTGAAGCTCAGAGGGGGCACTCGGGTGGTGAGAAGCGACAAGGTTTCACAGAAAAGACATAAGGTCATCTAGTAATCCTTGTTGCATGTGGTCGCTACAGATTAAAGCAGAAAGTGTTTTTGTACAAAACACTAAAACACAAAGCATTTAGCATGATACAAAATTGCTGCATTATGTACCAAATCTGCTGGGGTGATGCTCCTTCAGAATACATAAAAAAAAAAAAACCTCACATGAACAAATATTGCCTTTCTTTCATCACTGGCTGATCGTACTTCTTCATTGTGTAAGTAGTGCCCAAGTAGATGAATTCTGAAATACTCAAAAGATAAATGCACTGTATATTTATTTACAAAAAGCCACACTAAATATAAAGTTTGGCACAAGGAATGAAGGTAAAGAGAGCAGTTGCAAGACCCTTACACAAACTACTTCATGGCTTAATAAACCTAGGGATGTCATACATTTATAAAGAGTTAAACTATAAATGTCTGATGTCACAGTTGTAACTTTATTGGTCATGATAAAACTTTCTCTTTTTACATTTATAGATTTATACATTCTGAGACTTATCTTAAAAAAGGAACAGACTTCAGCGGACAGTCAGGACTGCAGAGAAGATCATCAGTGCAAGCCTGCCCTCCATGGAGGACCTGTACACCTCACGGGTCAAAAGGAGGGCAGAGATCACTGCAGACCCCTCACACCCTGGATATAATCTGTTTGAACTCTTCCCCTCCAGAGGGCGTTACAGGTCACTGTGCACCAAGACAACCAGGCACAAGGACAGTTTCTTCCCCCAGGCCGTCACTCTGATTAGCACTTAACCCATGAGAGTATAACTGGACAATAACCCTCAGTGCAATAGTGGTAAATATACATTGTACATATAGATCTGTGGAATCCAGACTGTGTGTGTAGATATATATATATATATATATATATATATATATATACGGTGAGGAACTGAAGTATTTGAACACCCTGCGATTTTGCAAGTTCTCCCACTTAGAAATCATGGACGGGTCTGAAATTTACATTGTAGGTGCATTCCCACTCTGAGAGACAGAATTTTAAAAACAATTTCAGGAAATCACATTGTATGATTTTTAAAGAATTTATTTGTCTTGCACTGCTGAACATAAGTATTTGAACACCTGAGAAAATCAGTGTTAATATTTGGTACAGAAACCTTTGTTTGCAATTACAGAGGTCAAACGTTTCCTGTTCTTGACCAGGTTTGCACACACTGCAACAGGGATTTTGGCCCACTCCTCCACACAGATCTCCTCTAAATCTGTCAGGTTTCGGGGCTGTCACTGAGCAATGCAGAGTTTAAGCTCAGGTAAATAATGTGGTGCAGCAGGGAAACAGATGAAAAGCGCATTAATGTGAGTTTCTACGTCATTAACTACTGCAACCACCTACAGTACGTGACACACTATGTGCAGCGCTAGCTAGGAGAACCACCGTGACAAGGAAAAACCACATTAACCCTTATATGTACAGATATCACTGACAAATATGTGAAGGGAAAGGTTTGGTTTTGAAGTACTATTGTTACTTCACATAGTAGTAGCAGGGAGGTTTGTGCATCACAGTTCTTATCATGTCAGGATTTTTAATGATAGCGTTTCCTCTCTCTTCTCACAGAGAGAAGTGATCCGCTTTATGTGAAGTCTTTGGACACAGCTTCAATGAAATTGGGAGCTGACATGAGGATGGTGAAGGTACAGATGATGGAGAAGAGCGAGAAGGCCACCAGACATAACCTATCCACCACCGCTGCTGCAAACTTCCACTCACTGCAGATCGCCTCTCCCTCATCCTGCTCTCGGAAGCGCCTGGCAATGTACTGCACTTCCTCCAGGATCTGGGAAATTTCTGGAACTTGATCGAGCAGGAAAGTCTGCCGCGTCTGCTCTGAGTGGATGTCGTGCAGGGAGGAGCCATTAGGATGGCCGCTTCCTCCACCGCCACTGCTGCACACACCCGAATCAATGCTCGGTGGGAAAGCAGGGTTGTCTGTGCCCATTGAGTGGTGACCAAAGTACAGGTTCATGCTTCCATTGGTCGTGGTCGACTGGGTGGATGCCTTGCCTTGTATGGTGCTCATCTGAATGCTGCTGGTGCTGGTGTGGTGAGGAGGAGGGTGAGAATATTTGTAGGCTGTGGGGGTACTGGAGCTCACAGCTGTTCTGCTTTCCTCTCCAGGCTTCTTCATGCGGAGGAACCAGGCACACCAGTTAAGGAGGATGACTCGAACCTGGATAAAGACATGAGATTAAGCAGGAAATGGAGGGGAAAGAGGTAAGAAAGGGAAGAGAGATTATGGTGGATTATAGACAAAGAAATGAATGGTGAAATGAAAAAGAAAGGCAGAGGCAAAGAGGAGAAAAACAGAACTTTTAGTCACCAATCTTAGTTCTGCCAATGTTACATTTTGTCAAATTTCTTTAGGGGATAATACACAATGTGCCATAGGCTCCCAGGAAAATGATGTATGGCCTGAAGCTGTGGAGGTTTCCATTGGTTTCCACATTGGTTCTTGATACAGTAGATGTGTGGTATAAAGTGGATAATTTTTCTTATGATGAAGTACTTTTTCATATTTGATTTATATTTTGAGGGGCCAGTATTTTACTGAAAGCTGTGTCAACCTTATAACTAAATTATAGAGTGCGCAGATGCCACAAAATTACCACACTGTAAATGAGGATATTGATTATTATTGATGTATGATTCAAGTATAAAGGTGATTCAGCACTAATTAATTTTAATGCATGCAATTCTTGCCATCACCATCGAAGCATAGCACCACGGTAATCACTTTAATGCAAAGATCACCAAAACACAATGTCTCCTGATCATGTCAGTTGGCTTAAAGCAATAAATAAGAAGAACATTCTTCCCACACAGTTTGCATGTGAAACGGCATTTTTCATTGAGGCTACAGATCATATGGTAAATTTATGTCAAAAACAAAACGAGGCAGCTTAGGTTTTGTTTTAAGGGTCGCAGTCAGTCCTCTCTTTGTGGCGCATGCAAGGCACTTGGTTTTCTATCTCACATGTGTAAAGCAGAAAATAAAATAGGTAATTAATGTATGATCATAGCACTCAGGAATATAAAGGTGGCTGTGCATATTCACACAGGAGGGTCTCTCTCTGTCTATCCCCTTGCTGCTGTCCATGCCTCAGTGGTGCTGAAGTACACACACCTCTGGTTCTTATCAATAGGAATAACGATAAAAAAGCTAAATCACATGCTTTATAAATGTTGTATCTGTCATTTAGTCTGACCATGAAAAACTTGGGGGGAAAGGTGAGCCCCCAGAAGCTGTTATAGTTTGCATACTGAGTAGCATACGAATATACTGTAAATTGAGCAGTTATATGGAATTAATGCATAGCCTAGGGCAGAATGATCTATTTTCCACGTTTGCATTGAGAATTAGTTATTGGGTTTCACTTACCCATCTAGGCATTTTCCCTCCATGGGGGTCATGGTGGTGAAACTGTAGGACCAGGACTGTTACCACCACAGACAAGCCGACAATCATCATGGTGCTAGCAAAGTACTGAGCTGAAAAGGAAAATAAAACAGTATAACTTTGCATAGAAGGAATACTTTTTAATAAACAAAAATAATAGTCCAGGGCAGGGGTGCCCACACTTTTTCACTTTTCAAATGACCAAGTCAAAATAATCGACCTACAGTAAAAATACTACACACGCACAAAATATATGTATGAGTGAGTGTCGTAGTTTTTATGAACAGTCTGAAAGTGCCGCTCCACATTTCCCTTCTTCGGAATAGTGATAGTAAATTGGTAGATCAAGCAAACGCATTTCGAATATAATATCGCGAAAAAAAGTCCTTCTCCCATTCCGTATGGAATGTTTTCGGTTTCTTACTTGATTCAGCTCCCCCACTCATTTTATACCCTTTAGTAGAAATTAATTCGAAGGCTGACAAGGTAGTTCGCTCACTGGATGACACAAAAGACACACGGGTTTTCTCCTTGCAGCTGAAACATATATTCGCTTTCCCACCTTTCGTTAAATTGCCTTCCTTTTCCATCAACCTTTCTCTTCTTGGACATTTTGGGATTAATTGTAGGTATTTCTCATTTCCACTTGTTGGGAAGTTGCTGGTTAAATGCCGAAGGCTGAATACTGCCACCTAGTGGCGAGATGCCAATACTTTGCGCGTCCCGAAATTGACGTGCATTGTGGGAGATGTAGTTTAAGCTCAGTGCAGTTTTCAATTAGTATAGACTTTTATTTTAAGACAACCATACGCATTTTAAGCTTTCGAGGGCCACATAAAATGATCCGGGAGCCTTGAGTTTGACACCTATACTGTATACATTTCCATGTCAGACTATAACTGGACCTATATGAAAACCTGTCAGAGTGAATGTTTAGAAGCATCTATCAGTTCTGCTCCATCTGTGATGTGTTAATACATCTAGTCCAATAAAAGCAAGTTTGCTAATGGATTCATTTTGCATCACTAAGCTGCCAAATGAAGCAGAGCAGCTTCTCTGTTCGTAGCCTCCTCTCCCTTAGCATGGCTGACTGCTTTCTGTCTTCTGGTCCATATCAATATGGCCTCATACAATGCAGCTCTATTTTTATCCTGCACTCGGCATCATTCCCACATCCTTCATCGGCAACTGCCCTGCCCCTCCCCCCTCAGCTACAACATATTGATCAGTCCCTGCAATGAACACTGTCTGCTATGCAACGCCCTGTGGTGTGAATATCTCAGCAGTAAGTTATCCATCTGTTCTTTTGACATGGCAACCTATCATGACCAACTGCTTGCTGGGTAAATGATTCTTTGTTATCAGCCTGTCTGACAAGATACAGTGCAAACAGTTAATAAGGACAGATCTCTACACTGACACACCAACCATGCTATAGCACTCTGTAGCCTGTACAAGTCTGGTTTAATGTATAGTCTTAAAGGACTAGTTTAACCTTTCAGGGACACACCTTTGTTGCTGAGAGTTAGATAAGAAGATTCATTTCTAGTTTTATTTATTTACCTTTGGACAGAGACAGATGTTTACCTAAGCTATTTAGATTAGCTAAGCTCTCTATATATTTGCCACACATATTCTCATCCAAATCTGGGCAATAACGTTTGTAAGCAGTTTAAGTTTTGAATGTTATTTACCCTTTTTATGAGTAAATGTCACACATCTATCACAAATAGGTGTTGAAAAATATCCCTTGATCATTTTGTGATCTGAGTTAACTGTTTTTTTTTCATCATTTTCAAAGGTGGAAGTTTCACACAATTCCATAATCACTGAAATGAGCAATAATTAGCGCAGAAAAGTGTCTTACCAATCAAAGGAACAGAGTCTGAAGTGGCTGGCATGATCTCTGCTACCAGTAACATGAACACTGTTAGAGACAGCAGCACTGTGATGCCTGGAAAAAGACAGATGAACAGAAACACAAATGAAAAATGTTTTGATCACAGTCTAGTTTTCTCTTACATGGTGACTCGAGAGAACTCAAATGCAGCTGGTTGCTTCACTGGATTTATTTTGGTATATTCAGTCTGTTTTTCTTCTTAGTTAAATACAGTATTTACTCTGAACCTGTCTCACTAAATGGCATTTTTAAACAAGCTGGCATTTAAAGGTCCAATTGATCATCTTTTCTGTGTTTATAATGGAGTTTTTATTCATCTTCTAGTGAACTGAATCCGTAATAATGCGAGAGAATGTCTCTGTGTGTATGTCCTCCTCCATACCAAGCGATATCTTCTCTCCAGAGTCAGCAGGGAGCAGGAAGACCAGAAGAGCCAGGCCAGAGATGAGCACACAGGGGACGAGCAGGTTGAGGCCATAGTAAAGCGTCCTGCGGCGCATGGTGACTGTGAACGTCACATCAGGGTAAGGTTCTTTACAGCACTCGTAGTACAGCTCATTACGCTTAGCTGGCACACCTGCAGAAGAAATGAGGAGGTGGGAACATGTAAGTTAGAGGTCAAAAACACAGAATTATAGAATAATGGTCCAGCTCCCAGTCCTGATAGGATGAATCATTTTCAAAGACATTAAAAAATAAGCCATTACTGTGCAACTGTGGCTGCTGAATAAAATTTTATTGTCATCGTGTCCACGAGCGGGCTTGGCAGACATCGACCTATTCTCATCCAAATCAGAGCAATAAAGTAGGTAAGAAAGTGCAAGTTTTATCATTACCAATAAATTCTATAGTGGTCCTATTTAAATGTGGTTCAAAGAGGAGATTTGTGAACAGGTCAGTAGTTGAAAGGGGAAGAAAATGTGGCAGTGAGAAAATTAAATAATAAATGCTCCTGTGTCTCACTGTCAGTATGCTTTTAACCAAACTAATACCTTTTACTAAAAGCAGACGTGTTTCTTCATATATACTGGGCTGTACTGTAGGTTATCCGTTTCTCCCAAGTCACACAAAAATGCTGAAGAACCTGAAGGTAAAATTCCAGACTGTAACTAAGCACAGACATACTGTAATGTAGGACATGATGTGATTTAGATTAGGACAAACATAATCTTTAAGTAACCATGAAAGTAACCTTGCCCCTGAAAAACAGCAAATATGTCTTTGCCTAAATTAGTTCTGTACATAAAACTGTATTTTTGTTATTTAAAATAATAACCTATTCATCTGTTTCACCTAATCTAACACTGTTATCTAAACAGACAGATGGACACACTGTAGGTCAAGAAGTTCAGTCTCAGGTCCTAGACTTCATGCTATGCACTGACCTGGCTAATTGTAATTAGGGCGGGCAAGAGAGCTAATTAGTGGAATCACTGAGCTCAGTGCTTTTTCTTGCTTGGACAGTGTGCAAGATCATCAAGGGGTAAGAAAATATAGCGTCCCTGAGCTTTTGTTGAACTTGGCAACAGTCAGCAGTGAGTGATTTTTAGACCACAAGTACTATTTTAAATCCACGAGTGTCTGGTAACCAACGCCAGCTCTTTAGAATGGGTGTATTGTGGTCATATGTGTTTGTTTTGTATCGAATTTAAGACCCAAGTTACTTAGGACAAGGAAAAACCCTGTGCCGTTCTGTCACAGGGCTGATTATTCCTGAGTCAGATGACCATTCACATGAATCTGAACTTCACAACCTTGAAATTTTGTGTCAAATTCAAATTACTCTCAAAACCAATCCTAAATTACCATAAATGGCTAATCTCTTGTTGTTGTATATTCACATGTACTCAACTAATCTGTCTGGTACAGTACAACAGCTCAGCAACAAAAAACAATATAATCTTGGACCGATTAAATTCAAATAAGTATTTAAAAAAACAAAACAAGAGCCACTGTGTATTAAGGTGATTAGTAAACTTTACTTTGATAGATTTCACACACAGCTTTATCTTTTGCCCTTGATTACGGCAACTACCTCAGAACTTATAACTCTGAGGCTGTGGGAGAGAGGAAAGGAAGGTCACTTGTGACTCACATTCAACAATCAGTGCTGAGTAAAAATCAGCCTAAAGTGCAGTGAATTAGCTTATGGCTCCAGCATCATTGTATAGCTGTTTAAATATATGTTTATGTGTTTAGGGATTCTGAATGAAGCCTTAGTACATAATCAGCAACATATTCAAAATATGCAACTCATTTTAGGGTGAAATGCAACAAAAACACTTGATTTTAGCTCAGAGTGTATGTGAGTGAAAACAGTGTTCATCCATCCATACTGCTTATTCCTGAATAGGGTCATGGGGGGTCTGGAGCCTATTCCAGCTGACACTGGGCGAGAGGTGGGGTACACCCTGCACAGGTTGCCAGTCTATCACAGGGCCAACATGTAGACAAACAACCACAAACACCCACACTCACTCCTACAGGCAGTTTAGAGTCACCAGTCAACCTAAGCTGCATGTCTTTGGACTGTGGTAGGAAGCCAGAGTACCTGGAGAGAACCCACACAGGCACAGGGAGAACATGCAGACTCCACACAGAAAGGCCCCGGGTCAACCAGGGCTCAAACCTTCTTCCTGTGAGGCGACAGTGCTCACATTGTGGGACTGAAACCTATTTATACACTCAAACTATGGGTGCTTAGTCTCCCTTGTGGGGAACAGAAGCTGGTCCGTATCATATAAATCATTGAATATTAGAGTGACAACTTGGTTTAAGGTTTGGGTAATTCTCCAGAAAATGAATGGAAGTCGGGTAAAGTCCCCACAAGAAATGAAAAGAAATGTGTGAGTGTGTGTTCATGTACACTGGTATGAGCTCCGAGGAACCAGGACAGCGTGTGTTCTTGGCCACCTTGCTGCCTGACTGTGCATGAATTTAGTGAACCATTACTGGGCCAGCTGTCACCACACACCCATGGCTCTCCCTCTGTTCTCCCAGCCAGATGGGTGCACTCACTTTGTGTGAGTGTGAATTCTTATGCCAGTCCTCTGATTAACACACAGAACTAGGTTAGAGATGATGGGAGACCTTTATTTGCATGTGGAGAGAGAGGATGGCAAAAAAGAGAAAAACAAAACAGAAAGAAGGAGTCAGTATGTTTTATTACCTTGTCATTCTCTCTCTTTCATCCCTCTCTCTTTTGTTTCTTGGGAGGAGAGAGACAAATTGAGAGGCAGTGTGGTGAGTTTGAGAAGAGAGAACCAAGAGTGAAACCAGGAATGTAAAGAATATGAAGCTACTGAAAAGGGGGAAAATCCCACTGCTGTTTTCAGTCATGCTGCTATGATGTGCCTATCAACAAAATAGTTTCCCCAAAACAATGGGAGTCACTCATTCCTTAGTAATGATTTTCAGAGTTCTCAGTTTTTATTGACTCTAGACCATGGCTGCATGGTATGGAGTACAAAGAAAATATGCTGTATATTCATAGCACCCAGCAGGATTGCAATACACTATTAACTACTGGTGCTTCATTTCCAAATTACTTTTGGCTTATCTGACTGTAAAAACAAAATAAATGTACACTTAATTTAAATTTAATTTAAACTTTTCCATCTCACTGGTTATGCTTGCATTCTTACATTCAAACAAAATGGTTGTCAGTAGCTTGTTGGGTAACAACAGGGTTGGTCAAAGCATTACAATTGTTTATATAGCAAAATAAAAGACGTATGCAAGTAGATACGAGGTCTGATTTTTCTTTATAAATTGTATTTGTATAACCAAATAGTCTTGGACTCCAGGAGTTCATGAGCAGGAACAAGCTGTGGAAACTGTGGGCTAAGCAGCAGCAAGTGATTCTCCAGGCTGTCTGCAGTACTCTTTAAACAGGACTGACTGACAGGAACATGTCAGTGAGAATGGCATCTTACAAGGAAGTTGACATGACTGAAACACCTGCTGTCAGAGCCGTGTGACAATGACTGGATGTCTAATGCCATGGAATCATTACATTACGAGTTTGGGCTTTTCATATATATAAATATTCAGGCTGTGCATCATCTTATCGTCATGTTTTTGTGTCATTTATACATTGATTATTGTACTCAGTCTATTTAAAGTCGATAGATAATTTGTTAACAACATCCTCTTTTCAGTAAAACCCATATGTTATAAACAAGCTATGTAGCTCAGTACCTTTCCTTACTATAACTACACAGAAACAGTAAGGAGAGTCATATCTCTGATTTCCTTTTACTTTGTTTTACTGTTCTTCTTCTTACCTACAAGATCCCATTCCCCATTGGGTATGTACGTAGAGATGTCCACATCCATCATCTGGAGGTCCAGCAGCCAGCCATTGTGAGTCCAGGAGCCAAACTTCAGGTCACACTTCTGCACGTCAAATGGGAACCACCGTACATCAATGTAACAGGTGCTCTTCAGAATGCCTGGAGAGGAATGTTGGGGTAAGTTACTTTTGGCACTGAACACTTGCTTTATTTTGACATGTGCTTTGACTTAACCAGTACCAACTGTATAAAAACCCTTAAAAACAGCCAAATATGAGTTGACACAGAGGGTCTTTTCTTTTGTCAGTGATTTCATGACAGTCCTGGCAATATTTCAAACATAAGAGTGAGACTAGGATGAGGACAATGTGCCAGATGCCCAAAGACATACAGTATCTGATGCTTTACCACAAAATATAGTGTAGAAGTCAAAGTACATGATTACAGAGGAAAACATGTGCAACAAGTATTTACAACTGTCAAGGGACAGAAAAATGAAACCAATAAGATAAGATGCAAGTTCAGCTATATTGATTTTAAAAGAATTTCTTGTGCCACTATGCAGTAAGTGACAGTGATGAGAACGTTGATGACAATGGTAATGATATTTATGATGATAGTGCTAAAGACATTTGCTTAAGACGACGATGATCTTAACAGTAGTGATGTGAAGGGGTGATGCTGATGCTGATGCTGGTCAGGTTATGGTAACAACAACCATAAATAATGATCGTTCAAATAATACTGCAAAATTAACAACAGTGACAAATGATGTACAGTATGAAATATGTAATGTGGTGAAAAAAGAAGACAAAGAATATCTTAGAGATCACACCTGGAGGGAGGTACTGGCAGTATCCTGAAGCATTAACCAACACATTTGTATGGAACGTAGCATCAAACCTCTCATCAGCACTGCAGGGAGACAAAGGTGGATAATGTAAACACAGTAATGAAGCATTTAAAGTCGAAAAAATAAGTAAATAGGAACATTTCTAGAGAAAGAGCCAGAAAGGAGAATAAAAGAACAAGGGGTTATGAAGTTGATTGAGGGTGAAATACAAAAGTAGACAGATAAAAAGAGAAACAATAAACAGAAGAAGAGAAGAAAGGTGCCAGAGAGGCAGAGGCAAGTGGGATTAGTGTAGATCCAGACAGACCGTGTTTAATTTTCTGATCATCCTAAACAAACATTGTTGTCTGCTATTGAGATGTCCTTCAAACAGACAGGGATTATGTACACTCAGAAACCAAAGTATTCACATCACAACCAGAAGATTACACATTTCACACTATAACAAAAGGCACAGGATAATTACAACATTTGAATTTTTCTTTCAAAGAATAAGACCAAAGGACTTTACATATCTGAAAACAGAAATTCTTGGAATCTTTTATGCTAGATATAAAGCACATTCATTGCAATAAAAAGAAGCATGTCAGAATTACGACAATTCTGACCTGGGTAACTGAATGTTTTCTAAGGCACAAATTCAAAAGCCCCTAAGAGAAGCAGTCATTTTTCTAGTATTTGTTAAATAAAAGGCACTCAGAGAGCATGTTCCTCCACTGAGGCCTCTACTTTTGTTGTTTCAATAATACAAAATGTTAAGAATGTTTATACATGGAGTAACAGGCAACTATAGTAACTGACTGTGGGCGTCCATGAATTTTGGAAAATGCCTAAATCCTGTCAAGAAATTTCAGGACTGTGTAAAAGAACAAATGATGCAAAATCATTCTTGTGAAGTTATTATGCTGAATACTGGAACAGAGATAAACAAATGTTTCCTATGATGGCTACACACTATTTGTTTATTTGTATATTTTTGGATAATGTCACCACCATAAAAACACTGCATGATGTACACTGTACACTGAATGCATCTCATTTTGAACAATAACCACTTATATGGTGACTCATCCAAAGCCAGGCAATAGCCAGACTCACACAATCATCACTTATTATCCATTCATACATTTCTGCCACTTACAGCATGAGACTTTCTCCCTCACACAGGGAGGAAGTGAGTGCCATGCTTAAACTCTTCCAGTAGGCTATTTTGTTGGACAAGCACAACATAAATTTAAGCAAAATGTTCTGGGACTTTGCCCAGGAGGCTGAACAGGACAAGGCTTTACTCAATACTAATTTATGGCTGCACATCAATAATCTAAATCTAATCACTTTTTTCACTTAGCAGAAGTTGAGAAGACACAGAGGCTGGGAAAATAGTTTGGAACAGCTGTAACTGCTCTTACACTTTGCTGGTAATAAATTAGCACAATTAGTATTCAGCCTTGTTATGGTATTTGAATTACATGTACTTAACATACATTAACTGAGTGGGAAAGTATTTGAAATGAAAAAGGTTTGATTTTTCATTCTCACAACCATCAAAACAAAAAAACAATTGCAAGGTATGACTAACACGATAGTGATTCTTTTCAATTAATGTTCAGACAATGACTGGGAAAGCAATTTTTCAAAATGGTTGGGTGAAACATTTAAAAAGGAAGATTTATACCATGACTAAATAATTAAAAAGCATGCATGGACATCACAGGAGATTCCTGATGCATATTATTAATCACATCTTAATCAGATAAGCAGAACATGTTTCAAAAAGGTCATTTGCTATGTGAAAAAGATAAGGGCAGAATGAAAGGACTGAATCACCCTTTAGCCTGCAAGAATTATATTTAATTCTTGTAAAAAAAAAACATTGCTACTAATGTTACAACATTAGCATAATCAAAATGCTGATAAAAAGACAACATTGTACAATGTAGCCTGATAAGTGAAACCATCTCAACATATAAAGAAAGGAGCCTGACAGAGAGATGCTTGCATTATTCATATATAACCATAATGAAAGCGGAAAACTTGTGTTTGACCTGCTAATTGCTTCTTAAACATAAACAAGTCAGCCTTCCTCACAGGCCTTCACAGGTCCAATCAGTTCTGAGAAACTGATCCTGGAATCTGAGTCGGGTTAGATCCAAATTCTGTTTAGTCTAATCAGGTCAGGTGTGTCAATATGTAAATAAAATGTCAGAAAGAGATTCTGGCAATCTGAAAAGCAGTTTGTTTCAACTCTCCGTGCATTGCTTCAGGTACCAGGGATACAGAAAATACTATACACAACATCAAGTTTGTCTGACAGGCTTATCATAGCCTGAAACAACACTGTGACACAGGTTTACAGCTGTATAAAGTTTAAATTTTTCTTTCCTAGTGATGATCATACAATAAACATTAGACAGTAGAAAGTAATTCACCAGAAATGTATGTCCCTGTAAATTATCGGTCACCAGGTTCAATCTTTGCTAGACCACCACTTGTGTATATGTTGAATCTTCTCTTCAAGCCTTTATACTATTTATATAGATAACATTCACAATTACTTCACTTCAAATTGTATGCCTTTTACAGTTTTTTTTACTATATTTACATAGTAGTGGGTCTCCTATCATTGAGGCCACCATGTTGAGCTGCTGTTTTTTTACAGTAGCTTGAATTTCACATTTTCACTTGGAAGTAGGAGCTTGGATTAAGATTGGTTGGAAGATGGAAAGAAGTAACAGAAAAGAGAGAACAGGAAGAAGCACGGTTGTGAGTTTAAGAACTATAATTCTAATGAATAAACCCATCCAAGAAGGTGATGGGTTGGCCTACAGACGGGAGGTTGAACAGCTGGCCCTGTGGTGTGGTCACAACAACCTGAAAGAGCACCCCCCACCCTGCTCAGCAGCACTGCATCAGTAGTAGAGTCCTTCAAGTTCCTGGGCTCCACTGCCTCCCGGGACCTGAAGTGGATGTCCAACATCAGGAAGGCACAGCAGAGGATGTACTTCCTGTGCCAGCTCAGGAAGTTCAACCTGCCCCAGGAGCTGCTGATACAGTTCTACAGAGGAATCATTGAGTCTGTTCTCTGCTCATCCATTTCTGTCCTGTTTGGTTCAGCAACCAAACTGGGCTGCCATTAGCTTTTGCTTGGTCAAGTCAGCCATACTTGTTTTTTCGAGTGTCCTACATTTATGGTAATGACTGTGAAACGGCTGTGAGGGTTGTTTAACACGATCTATGAAAGCTATGCTGAACATTGCAGTCTGTAACCTCACCTGGATATTGCTAAATCTCACATACTGCACCTTTAATTTCCCTGAATCAGTAAAGGTTTATCCTATTTAGTAGTTCTAATCTCTTTACTTGATTTCTTGCTTCATTAAAATAAAAATGAATGATTTTGCTCATAATTTATATTGCATGCCTAAAGAATGTCAGTTTCAGTCTGAGTCTGTGCCAGGACTATATTGTTGTTATTGTTAGTGATTGCTGATTCTCACTGTAAGCTGCTTAATGTTCTGTTTTACCCCTGTTAGATAGCCAAACCCCTCCTTTCGCCCTCACACACAGGCTAGAAATCTGTCACTATTTCCACCCATAAAGGAAATGCTCATTCACCTTGAAGGTAGCACTGAAAAGTCAACACCATCAATCAGCTTCAGCTCTGCCTTGCATCATGTTGTCTTGTCCCCATTACATTTGGGATTCTTTAGAAGTATGTGTGTAAAGAAAAAGAGTGTATGACATGAGAAGGATTGATGCATTAAAAACTTCTTACTCCTTTGTTAAATACCCTCTGTTGGAGCTTAATGGTTTAAAAATGGTCAACAATCACACAACCTCTCTCCCCAGTGCCTGTTAAAATCAGCAATACTACAAAAAACGCAGTTTGAGTCACATAAACAACAGAAGCGCCATTAAAATGATTTATGTTTAGTGAGAGAGGTTCTCATCCAAGTAATACTGTCTTCCATCAGTTTGCTGTGTGAAACTGTACTGAATATTTTCACTGCAATAACAGACTGTACTATATCTGATTTTTTTTCACTTACTGCATTTTATCTATTTTATATATATATCTTAGTGTTGCAGGCTCAGAACTAAATAATGGGATCTTCCAGAGCAAAAGAACTTCAAGATAGAAAACAGCACATTTTTTCTGCAAGATAAGCGTATTTTTGCTATTCTTTCTTTCATATTATCCCTTTGGACCCACTGTTTCATAATAACAATTCTCCTATAAAATGAAGAGGACTATCAATTAAATATAAACATAAAATAGAAAACTACTTACAGAAATCCAAAGCAAGAATAAATAGTTCTGAAATAATTACAGACTATTTGGCATTACGATGCAAAACTAATCTAGAGGTACCCAAGATTAAGCAATAAATGGCTGGAAATGAGCATGCCATGGACACTTTAAACTAACTAACTCTTTTTACACATATGGGCCATATGTTTTCACTGGATGTAGAGAAGCACATCGGGTATTGCCTTTTTTGTATGTCACAGCTGTTTATCTACTGAGTAAATGCTCTTTATGAATTGTACAATGAATGTAATAAATGTCTAGTAAGCAGCTTGTGTTTGAGGAAAATACTGGTGCCACAGAAAAGGTTGAAACACAAATGGCTCACACATAATCAAATAGAACCAAGATCAAGTCACCCACTGGTAAACCAGGCAGGTTCAGACCGCATTGTCACCTTGCAACTCAATTTCTTTGTAGCTCTGCTATCTAGCTGAGCCTGCAGCGGCACAATAGGAAAGAGGTTTACTTAGACTGACCTCTAAATTAAAGAAACATACGGGCTGTTGAAGTGAAAGATTATTCTCCTTTTACTGTGAAAGTCCCAGTCTTTGACACTGGCATGAAATGAAATGAGCTCAGACCGATGAAGGTTTCCACTTAGATCTGTAGAGCTCAATATAAAAGTGAACCATGGCTGTATGATGATGATAAGGGCCTGAAATTCTGGACTAGAAACAGTCTAAATAAATGAAGGGATATATATATTTGCTGTATTTGCTATTGCTATTTCACAATAGTATATTTGTTGACATGTTCAGCCACCTGATGTAATGTTTTACTTCTCCAATTCCTGCAATGCTACCCATTACAGGCAACTGATGCAAAGCATCCTGGGCGTTATGGTGCAAGTCCTCCCAGAGGGAATCAGCATAGCCTTCTTATTAGACACAGCTGTAATCAAGAGTGAAAGTTCATCTGGGGAATATTTCTGTCCACTATGTCATTAGGTAAACAGAGCTCAGGCCATCTACAGTATCTGAGCAGAGGAAAATGGTGTAAAGAGAAGAAGACAAAAAGAGAAAGAAAGGACAGCAAAAAGAATAAAGATTAAAATAGTGAGAGTATGCAAAATAGAAAGGAAGAAAAGCAATGACAGAACAACCACTGTGCTGATTACCAACAAAAATGAGCTTTCATCATATAAAAGTCAGTATACAGTATACTAGTATATTACTGAATTGCTGTAACCACTGAAATTCATAAGAGTAAAACTACACTATGGAAGTAGCTTTAGATGCAGAGTACTGAATGGTGACATCCTACGTGCCTATGGGATAGCACTTATAGTTGGCCAGTAACGTCTATTGTTAGTGCCCAATTCTGATGTGGCATTATAAAATATTTTATATAATTTCAGTGAACTGGCTTGTGATCTTTTTTGTATTGCTACTATAACTGTCAAATAGTTGATTGAATATTTGTAGCTGCAATAGGTTATAAATTAGTTGACTGACAGGAAATAAACAACATCAATTTCAATAATTAATTTATCATTTCAGTCATTTGTCAACTTGGAATTATAAAGTTCTGTCTAACTTATGGCAGCATTTGTTGTAGGCTTAGGTATTAATAAACCTACATTTTGAAAAAGGAAAGGTTGAATCTCAAGAATCAATCTATAATTTGGCTCGATAAGACTCGAGTTGGAAAGCACCACTCATAATGTACACAGGAGTTCCAGCCAACCAATGATCTGATGTGTTCCATGCTTCTGAGCTTCTAACTTTATCTGTGTCTGTTTATAACTTGTATAGCAGACATGACAGTGATTACAACTGGAGCTCAGACACTGACAGTTAATGATCCAAGCAAAAGGGAGTTCTAGCTGCTTCCAAAGTCTCGCATATGATTGTTCCAACATCCTCTACCCTGGTCGACCAAGGACCAAGGCTGTTTGGAGTCTCTTATATTGGGTCTGGGAACCAAGGAGCCAGAAGCAAGAGG